TCACTTTTATTTTTTTAATACCATGGCAATATTCTGAAGTGCTTTCGCGGCTAATTTACAGATATTTGTTTACCAAAATAAATATGTCTTCACTTAAGAAGTGTTGTACTTGTAGGAGACATAAGTGAATCGGATTATCTGGAGAATGTTCTCAAGAAACCTAAAGTCAATGTGATCTTTGGTAATGGAATAACAGTCCTTAGTAATGCTAACTTAATATCCCATTGCCTTTTGATTGCGAATAGGGAAGGAGGCTTACAAAGTAATTCCATCATCAAGTAAAAATTGAGTTAGGGATCAATCAAATAGCATCATTACTTTATTGCCTATGAGATAGATTGAGATTATCCTATTTGAGGTTCAGAATATTGGGATTATCCAGAGGTATGTTTATTTAGATTTAAATCCAAAAAATCAAAGCGACTATTTTCATAGTACGAGTATATAAGGGTTATACTTGTATACTGGGAGGTTTTGGTTATAGGTTATATCCTGAGGAATATATTTATATCACCCCGAGGGACCGAAGGGACTAAGGGGAGATATAAATAGTTCCCGAGGGATATACCCTATATCCAAAACCGATCGTACATAACTGGTGTATCTCATACTTAAGTGGGTTTGGGGTTCCACCTTTGTCAAATGACAAGATAGGTCTATACTGTAAAAGCACAATTTATATTTAATTCGTAACATTCCTTCAGTTCAATACAATGAAATTGTAACATTTAAACTTTTTAACAAATTTTAAACTTTCAAATGTTAATTTTTTTTAAATTTTTAAAACTTTTGAAAAATTCCCGGGAGCGGGATGGATGCCCGCATTTGCCCTGGAGCGGGACATATATAATATATCCTGCCCGCTCCTCAGATATGATATATATTCCTGGGTGACATCTACCCCAAACATACTCAAGTATGAGATACATAGGGGTTATGCACTGGGAGGTTTTGGATACAGGGAATATCCCGAGGGATATTTCCTGTATCCAAACCGACCGTGCATAACTGTTGTATTCCATACCTGATGAGGTTTGAAATAACTAGCATGTATCCCATATGCTCTGGTGTGTTTACTTGCAAAATATGTTATCATTTTCAAAAAAAAATTCTTTCCAAATTTGTTTTCAATTTTTTTCAAAAATGAAAAAAAAAATTCCGACATTTTTTTCAAATTTTTTTCACATTTTTTGCATATTAGTAATTTTTTTTCAGAATTTCTTTTCAAATTTTTTTTCAAAAATTTATTTTCAACATTTTTCCAAAATTTTTTTACATAATTTTTTTTTCACAATTTTTTTTTTAAATTTTGATTTTCACATTTTTTCCCGAATTTATTTTTAAAATTTAAAAAATAAATTTTCAAAAATTTTTTTTGAGCGGGACATACGATTTATATGTCCCGGAGCTCCGTTGGAGCGGGACATACGAAAAATATTTGCCCGGATATGGAATATATTCCCGGTTGATATGTCCCTGAAACCTCATTAGGTATGGAATACAAAGTTGTATCTCTTTTGAAAACAACTTTTTACTTACAAACCTATGCTTTCACTTCAACATGTATGAGATACTTATCGGAAGTTTATCGATGTTGTTCTGTAATAGATCACTGAAAAGAAAAGGGCACAAATGTCTCTCCAAGTAGTTGGAAAAGTTCAGACTTATAGGCGGAGGTAGTGTACCGACCGTGGATAGCAAGTTGCTATGCTGTAGTGGCTTAGCCCTTTAGCTCAGTTGGTAGAGCATCAGTCTTAAGTCACTCCCCCGGGGCGCCCTTCGGTCATTACAGTAGTAACCTCCGAATGTCAAGGTTATGTCACATGTCATTTCTGATTGCTGATCTTCTGTTTTTAGAATTTTTTTTTTCTTAATCCTAGATTCTACTCCCAACCATGGACTTTTTCTTGAGGTCCATGCCCCCCCCCTCTCCCACCCTCATTTCGTCTTCATATTTTGATATATATCATCTTTCCGTCCTTGACAAGAAAACAATCTCTCCTACAACCAGTCCATACATTTATCAATGTCATATTTCTCATTCTTTTCCTGCAGTATCAGTTCATCTCATACTTTATCATTTGGCCAACTGTTACCATATTTCTTAGTATACAACGTGATTACTCATTCAACATACACTGACACTGTTATACGTGAAAATGACCCTTTCAGGTTAGATTGGAGCCATTCCTGTTATCATTTATAAAGATCCTTTTATCCTTTCATGCACTCTTAGATACAGCTATTCTTGTCTACCCATATTCACTCAAATTCAACTCAAAGCTAGGTGAAGGTTTTTTACTCCGTTACACATTACTGTTGACGTCCCATATCATATTAGAACTAAGAAATATAGACTGAAGAGCAGGTGTTATATCGACAGATATACCCCACATGGCTTGGCACAAACGTTTTATGTACGACCGAAAGAAGTGAGGGGTTCGAAAGCTTTTGTGCCTAGTCGTAAGGGATGTATTCGACGATATTACACGTGCTTGAGGTCTATATTACGATTCGAACATGAAAACTCACCAACATTTTTCGATTATTCATTCAATGGTCCGCCATTACTACAACCCACCGTAATGACGTCACACATTATTGTGTTGCCCCGGGTGAAATTTTGAGTTTGTTAACAATTTATAGAAGGCGTGAATACAGTCATGTTCGAATTATCAATATAACAACAAAAGTTCGAAGTTTGCTTATATCCTTTAAATTCAATATCTAAGCTTGTATTCGCGAATGCAACACTTTGAAAATAAATGACCATGTAATTTGCACCGCATGGGCTTATTTATCTTTTTCGTGATACCTAGGGGGAAATCGTATTAAATATTATGCAATTGACTTGCACCGCGGGCAGTTCAAAAACGCAGCCTTAGATGTGAATGGAAAAGTGGTAGGTACTACTCATATTTAAATGAGTTGCCCATAAAATACTAGGTTAACCCGATGGCCGACAGCCGAAAGTTGCACTCGCAAATACAAGCTTAATCATCGATCATAGCTTTGTTTTGTATACATCTGTGCAGATAGATTTTGCAATAGAACATCACTTACGTCAGTTGAATTCATTCAGACATGTCTTATGATAACATCTTTACTATTTCTTTCTTTGAAAAGTACATTATTAATTCATATTTGCATATGCTTTTGAGCCCGTATATCGTTTAATGTAGAAGTACCTAGCCAAAAGCCTTTTTAGATTACCAATTTCAAAATAATGATAAATCAATTTGTTTTCTAACGTTCCCATCGGTGCCAGATGTGTCGCATGCGACACCGTTTCATTTAATTCAGGTAATTAGACTGTCTAAAGTTTCGGAAGTTGATCTAGTCGAGGGATCCACGTTCGGTTCATCTAAGTTAGCTGATGAGATAGAGAATGATAAATGTTGGTAAGCAATCTTTTCTATAGCGTGCCAATGTTTCGCTTCTGGATACTTGTTTCAGTTTTTGAAAAATGAATTGAAATATCTAAAAGTCATTGAAGATGTAAACTACAGAGATTTCTAAATTCATTAGAATTGAAAAGAGGTGCCCCTTTGTTAAAATTATTGTTGCTTGATTATTGAAATTCAAAAGATTAGCCTGAAATACAGTCGGATCTGTTGGACCTGTTTGATTTACGATTTATGCATGACAAGGAATCTTGAGTTTTTCAAGATGGCGCTTGGATCATTTAGGAATCCCCAGTGCAGATCTTTCACCATCGGGCTTTGGTGCTAGAACAGCAAAGGAATGAGTTGAAATGGCCTTGGATTAAGAATGCCCGGTGCATGTCATGAGCCTGATTACTTTATCTGGTTAAATATAATTAAGTTGAAATAGATACTTATATGGGATTAATGACTTATTTTATGAGATGAGAAAACACTGCCTGGTTAACCACATTATACATTCAACGCTACAATGCATTTGTCTCTATATGTTGATTTACCATGTTTATAACCTGTAGTAAACTTAATCTGAAAATAAAAACGATAAACCATAAAGCATTGTTGAGCATAATAAACCAAAATGAATTATAAGCAGCAAGTATTGCCATATTTCACAGTTGATGAGCATATTATCGCAATAATTCTTCACGGCGATGGTAAATAAAGTTGGATTAATTATATTTTCATACCTTTTTTATATCAGATTATGAGAAGTTTGATATGAGATTTTTTATTTGCTTTGAGGCACTGGTGATGACCTTGATAAATGGTATCACAGCTAAATGAATAAATTATAATTAAACACATTCTAGCTAGTTTATAACTTCAATTCCAATGGAGAATCGTTTCGTGTTCGTGTTATTAAAAGTTCAGCTGAAACTATTTTTAAATTGCAAATCAACCATCACAATTGCAAGCTGGATGACATTTATTTCATGAATTTTATAACAATAGTATCAGTTTTATAGCATCAGAAATGTTGTCACATTTTATGTCCCCATCAGCTATTTTCGAAGACATGTAACAAAAGTGATCTGATCCGTAACTATGGCAACGAATTATGGGACTTATAAACGCTTGTAGCATTTTTGTTAGGCGATTACTTGAGAAGCCGTTTCCAAAGTTTTCTGGATTACCGTAGCATTGCATCATCATCAACTCTATTTTTCTCAATAATGTGTGCAACCTCGTCTTCCAGTTCCAATGTGGTAATATAACCAATGATATAACCAATAATATAATATATAACCATGGCTGTGAAGAATTGGAGCAACTGAAAGCTTGTGAATCATGGTGCAACCTGATGGTTAAATCAATTTATGATAGCCTTGCATTAGACGGTCAATCTTTAAACAAATAGAGAATTTTAGATACCTTAAATGTACATTTTGGGAAAACAAGATGGAAAGATTGTTCACCATAACTCGGATTGAAAATATAACTAAAAAGCAATTAAAAATTATTTTCAGAACAGCATTTCAGTCGAACTGTCACGACCAGAATGTTAATTTTATTGCATTAAATGTTGCAATTATTTGTGTGTTTTTTGTTTTTCAGTTCACAAAACACGTGACATTTGTATGGCATTTTGGAGCAGTGATGTGCAAACTGGTCCACTATTTCCAGAATGTCTCCGTCATTTGCTCAGTGTTAACGCTCACATTCATGAGCGTTGAGAGGTGAGTTACCAAGTGAAATTTTTAGATCTTTATTAGAAAACTCCTTCATCATCATGCTCCGAATTAGTTCATGTTTGTCTTGGTCCAATTTATTTAGGGACACCCTGTACTCGATTTTGATTGGTCAACGAGCAGTTAGTAGTTGATTATTGACGGCCGCTCGAATGTGTGCTTGTGAAAAGGTACTTAATCTACATCTGATTATTGTAAGACAGCGGTGATAGCTATAGAAAGACGATAAAATTAAATAACATATTTTATGTCTGTCTTACTATCTAGTTTGTGACAAAACTTGTAAATGTAAGTATGATTTAAAATAGGTTCTTCATTCTCGGCCTGGTTAGAGCTCGTAAACCACAGACTCGCTCTTTCATACGCTTCTCTATACGCGAAGTCTCAACAAAGTTCTGGTAATCTGGCTGAGTGAAACATATCCCAGTGTCTAGCAGTCTAGTTTACAATATCGCCATGGGATGTTCACCTGAATATTGAGATAGATGAACTTGAAAACAACAATATCCTTTAATTTACGTGATTTGGAAAACAAATGGAAATGTTCTACTATAGCTTATCGTTTTAAATCCCTCCGCTGTCCTATAAAAATGATCCTATCCTATCAAACACTAAATACCACTATGATGGGTGCAAGAGAAAGTGGGAAAAGAGACATCTGGGCAAAACCAAATATCACATTACACTTAGTTATTGTTTATTTTATAATAGTGAAATCTTCGAAAAACATGAATTTGCACATAGGCGCAAGTATAATACAAAAAGGGTGGTCAAAAAAACGGAAACCCTGCATTTTCCTCATATCTTTGTCATTTTAAGAAATTACTCCCTGATATTTCACACATTTGTAAATCATTCAATTTCCTACTACCGTACCATATGTCATGACCATCAGACAGATAGTCACAATTTTACAGCACTTTGAACAACATGCTCCAGGTTTGGCCATCATGGCGCTGTAGGCAAACCTGCACAGTTGTCAATGATCCAAATGCATTCCTCAGCAGGTATGGCCTGAATGATGCAGATGATCTCACTTTTGAGGTCTGCCATTGTCCAGAGGTCATTCTTATACACTTTATCTCTGCCATTTTCCCATAGATAGGGACATTTTGGATGACATGTCCAGGTTGACCTTCAGCGCAATAGTGGCCACCGGGGATGTTCTTTAAAGTGCTGTAGCACTGTGACTATCAATCAGATGGTCATGAAATATGGTAGGCTGGTAGGAAATTGAGTGATGTATAAATGTGCAAAGTTATTTCTTAAAATAATAAAGATATTAGGAAAATGGTGTAAGGGTTTCCAGTTTTTTTGACCACCCTGTATTTACTCAGTGACTATCTTTTTGGGGGAATGGAAGCACAAAACACTTCAACTTTTAATGCTGGACACACTTTTTTGCTGAGGAATAATACAGCAAAATACATGTGCAAAAACTCAAAATGTATGTAGATGTTTAAGGTTCGATTTTCTTTGAAAAATTCCATGCATCCAATATTGTGTGAACATAAATCTTATACAACTCTTGTAGTGTCTTTCGTGAATCCGGAGAGAATAATATTCTTTACTTGATTGGATAAGTAAGTAAAAGTCAAGATGTGTGCCTACTTATACTGTCCACTACCACGATTGCCTTTAATTGTCATCCTCCAGACAAAGAATTTTATTGATTCTAACGACTAGCTGTACGAGGGGAATTTATGTACTTTGATTAATGAAGTGCTCTCCTTTATGTCTGTCATATCACTCGATGTAGACAGATCGCATGGATCTGAGTGATTCGAAGACATTACCAGGATCACTGTTGTAAGGATTTGGATGTACTTGTACAAAAATCTTATACCATCATCCACTCTGTTTTCTTCCCGTGGGTGATGTTTGGAGCCCTGCGTTCGGAGGTTGGGATTTATTTTACAAAGCACCATTTCGGAGAAAGAAAATCAATTTTGCGATTGTACGATTTCATGGCCTCAGATGAGGGGTATTGTTCTGTATCCTCTGTCTGTACATTCCAAGGCGCACATACTTTATTTCGTGACTCTTTATTTAAACTGAAGATAATCGCCCACAGAGTTTGGTAAACAACGTGATTCCCACCGATTTATATCAATTTGATTGAAGCAGTACAGAATAAATTTCACATTCATCTCTTTTAAAGGTTGCTACACTAGAATTTCTATCCAAGGAATAATTTCAGTAATTATGTTTCAACACGATCATAGTCATACACAACTTAGAAACTGAGAAAGATTTCCAATATAATTTATATGGTAAAATAGTTATGAATAATGCAAGTATTCAAAGGTAAGTTGATTAGATAATCATTAATAATACCTTAATGAATGCGACGAAAAAGGGACAACAAATCCTTAATAATCCAACCTTGACTGTATTTGATGCTTTGTATCTTATACATTTTTCAACATTAAAAAATACATCATATTCTCGTTCCAAAGTCCACTAAGGTTGCTGGGGATTAATCTGCCGATGGAAATGGCTGATTTATGTAAAATGCTTGATTAACTGTAACACATGGGTAGTAGATTGCAGATTGCGAATTAGTTCGACCTATTCAAAAAAGCAAATTACAAAACATAAATAAAAGAAATAGCCTGGAGATCAAACAGATATTATATGACATGTTATTTCTTGAAATCTTGAGTTATGTGCGTAATACAATTATCTTATCTCAAAGTTATCAAAATGTTAATGATATTCACATTATTCAGGTTTATACATCAAGTCTATAAGATGCCATTTCATATTTCGCCATCCAATGAGATCACGTACATTTTACTTCCTGTGATCATAAAGAATATGCAGAATAAAGTATAAGGACATGGACAGGGTGGGCACATAAAAATGGGACCCTCACATATATTTTATTTGTGGATAATTTTAGTAATTTTAATACTTAGCATGATAAATGGGGAATATAAAAAGCATTTTTGTTTCAAATTCAAGGTTAAATCCGCAACATCATTTTGCAGCGCTGTAAACAGTACTGAACAGTGCATTATCACGGGGTACCATCGAATAATTTTGGCAACGTACCGGAGAACGACATTTTACTAAGAAATGGCAATAATTTAGCACAATATATTTTTTAACTAGAGTTCTACTTTGATTTTGACAAAAGTAAGTATTCCATGCAATGGCTATTTCATTCATGAGTTTGTAGGAATTCTGTTGGAACCCAGTTCTGATCAAGTACGAAGTTATTGAAATCGGCGCAGACGGACTTTACTCCGAAAGATGGTTTTTCGATTATAACTTTTCACAACATTTAAGTATAGACTTTTGAAAAAAGTACAGAATAGTCCTTATACTTTTGAATAATTCTGTTATTTCTGATTCACACGACTCTGATTTGTTTAATTAAAAAAAAAGTTTTAAAAATATTACTTAGGAACATTTGAGTACTGTGTTATACAGCGATGTACAGTGCTATTCTAGCATCACCTGCATGCCCGTAAGACACTTTTCTCCAAGGGGGGTGCGGTTTTTAGCTTACTAAAGGGAACATAAAATTGTCAATTTTTTTGCCGCGTAAATCAAATCACGTAAGACAGAGGGGGGGGGGGGGTGGGGGTCAGTTACTCCCTATATTGGTTTGGAATTAACAAATGCAACTTCCAAACGTTCCAATTGTTTTGTGGGGGGTGTGAGGAGTGGTCCACTCCCCCTAGAAAATTTTACAGTTTTGAGATGCTATTTGGTGCTTTCTTGGCACTTTCAAAGTGTAAGTTTCTAAGTTAGTAGTACGCCATCACCACAAGAAAGAGTTGAGTGAATAAATAAAAACCGAGCATTCAGGGGGGTCTGGGGGTTCTCCCCCAGGAAAATTTTGAAATTTGCTTGTATTTGGAGCGAATTTGGAACCATCTGGAACGCCTGTGCGTTATGAGTTAATAAGAAAAATGTGATTTTTTTCAAATTCTTTTGGGGGTGTCAAAGAGGATGAGAGGGTGAAGTTGGGTGGGGTGCCAGTAGGGGAGCAAGGGGTTGTCCCCCAGAAACATTGACCATATCAAGGTGCTATTTGATGATGTCTGGGCAATACATGAAATTCAGAATATTTATTTTGTTTTGAGGGGGATGTGAGGGGTAGCTAACTCTCCTAGAAAATTTTACAATTGAAAGATGATATTTGGTGCTTCTGGGCACTTTTAAAGGTATTAATCAATAAAAACATTGAAAAACAATCACAATTTTTTTCAAATTTTGGGGGTGTCAAAGAGGGGGGGGAGAGGGGTGCCAGAGGGAGAGGTGGGGCTGGGGTGCCAGAGGGGGAGCAAGTGTTTGTCCCCCATATCAAAACTTACAATATCAAGGTGCTATTCCATTAGAAGTTTGGGCACTTAAAAGTGTCTGTGCCTAAAAGCGCATATTTCCCAAGAAAATTTTACAATTTTAAGATGCTATTTGGTGCTTTCTGGGCACTTTCAAAATGTATGAGTCAATAAAAAAATATGACAAAGTTCTTGATCAAGACACATACTCTAGGAGAGACAGCATTCACTTTTACAATATAGAGGAATCAGAAGATGAAGATTGTGAATTAAAAGTGAGGAAGATGATTAATGAACAACTCAAAATAGATGCGAAAGATATAAAATTCGAAAGAGTCCATCGTCTGGGGAAAAGAAACCAAAATGATAGATCAGCAAATAAAAGCAGACCAATTACAGCAAAATTCCATTGGTTCAAAGATAAAAAGCTGGTATGGGACGCTCGACGAAACTGCAAAGACTCCCCATACAGAATGGATGAAAGCTTTTGTAAAGAGATCAACATGAGGAGAAAGGCACTCTACCCGTATATGAAAGAAGCGCGGAATCAGGGAAAACGAGCATTTATGATAGCAGACACACTACATTTGGACAATAGAACATACAAGAGCACAGATGTATCCAGAATACCAATAACCTTGAGGAAAGACTAATATCTTTCGATGGAGGAGCCCACAGAGACTTAAATGGAAA